ACTTCCTAGAGACATCTACGTCATAATTAATCCAATTTTTGGCACTTAAGGACGATTTTTCTCGAAAATTTGGCAACGTCAGAAAACGTCAACGTCAAAAAACCGAGATCGCAGTATTAGATTTCAAATGGTAAGGGAGAGAAGTGGGGGGGAGGTTCAATTTTGTGGTCGCGGTAACTCGCGCAAATCACGAGATTTTCCCCCGAAATTTTTATAAGAGGTAGATCTTACTAAGTACTAGGCTGGTATTGAATTTGAGGAAATCGGCCGCGCCGTTTAAAAAGGCGAGCTTTGAAAGTTTTAGACGGGGAGTGCGCGGCTAGAGGGGAGCAGGGCCGCACAGTGGGTCACGGGCTGAAAGTTGGTCGACAAGACGGCAATTTAGTCGCACAGTGGGTCACGGACTGAACATTGGTGGACATCGCGGCGATGCTGACCGCAACAAGACCCAAAATTATAGATCCTTTGCCGTGACCACTTAATATTCTAAAGCTAATTGCCTGAGCTGAACGCTCTTCCCCTTTAGTTATGTACTGCCGCACTGATTACTCATTAAAGCTTAAAATTTTTGACTCTGTTTGAAAAATGTTGGACTTTTTGGTTTTGTTTTCAAAATATTTTGGACCCAGCACTCTTTTGCCACCTTTTTACACAGTTCGGGTCACGCTTTTAGGGTATTTTTCTCTTTTTTTCGTGATTCTAAGGAAAATGATTGAAAAAATCACATTTTAAGGGCGGAGCTAATAAACTGCTGTTTCACAGTATTAAATCATGATTAGGAACTATTGATATACCTATGTTTTCTAGAAGTAAATTTTACGCTCTTTTCAACCCTGGTAAAAATGGCAAGTGTTAGGTCAGTGAATTTTCCACTGAGGTCAGTGCAATTTGCTCTGAGGTCAGTTCAGTTTTCTCTGACGTAAGTGTTAAAGCACTTACCCAAGAAGTCAGCACTGAGGTAAGAGGCACTGACGTCGGGAGAAAGACTTACCTAAGTGCAGAGATGTCTCTGAGGTAAGCGGGACTGAGGTCAGGACTTGGTTCAGAGGGTAAGTCTCTGACATCAATCTTAATCGAACCGCACTCACTCCCAAAAAGTAGAGATGGCTCCCCCTTCCCCCACCCTATTTCATTTTTGTGGGGGAATATTTCCTCGGGACACGGGGACCACAAACTTTATCTTTCAGAGAGGCATATTTTGTAGAAGGTGGGATTTTCTAAGAGGGAAGGAAAACTAGTTTAAGTAGCCACACTCTTGAATAATTTGTTTTACCCTCTTCGTTTAAGATGACACTTAAATAATTAAAACACAACAAAAAATGAGATCGATAAAAATATTATCACCGCTAAAATATGTATTTAGATATATTTATTTAAGCATTATTATTTTTTTATAAAAAAAATAGTTTTAAATTTGGTTTTAATTTTTTTCAGTTTTAACTGTTTTTAAAATGTTTCAGTCTCAATTTTTTTTAAAATTTTCCTACTTTATTTTCAATTCTTTTCTAACTTTTTTACTCATTTACTTTCAATTTTTGTATCTGCTAATTTATATTTTTTGTATAATTTCAACTTTCATTATTTTTTGCATCATTAGCTTTAATTTTGAATTTTAGTGCGATCCATTTTTTTTTCAAAGAAACGTAACTTACAAAACTTCATTTACATGTTGATTGATTAAAAAAGAATAATAGAAAAATTAAGTAACGGATTCACATTCAAAGACAAAATCATCATTTGCTGGCAAAATTACCCCAATGGGGGCCCTGAAATGGTAAAATTACGCCCCTAACACGTACACGCGCAGGTAGTGTAGTGGTTCAATCGCTAGGACGATCACCGAAGTTAAGTTACGTCGGGCGTAGTTAGTACTTAGATTGGAGACCGCATGGGAACGAGCGATGTCCCCTGAAGATTGTGATACTTGCTTGGGATTGAAAACTCACAGCAGCCCTCCCTGATCGTCAAATAGTGACTTAACGTACCTGGCAGATCGGTAATTAACGAAATTTTTGCCTGTACAGTATTTCTGGGAGTTTCCACTCCGCTTACGTCTGAGACACTTAGGTCAGTGCCGCTTACATCAGAGGCACTTGCCTTTGGAACAGACCTAACACTGAGGTAGCAGATCAGCGCCCGGAAGCACTGACATCAGTGCTTAAGTCTGTTCCAAAGGCAAGTGCTACTGATCTGAGCACTTGCCATTTTTACCAGGGAATGAGCATAACAGTTTTTCTCTCAGATAATCGAAGCTGGAGGTATGAAGCAAAGTTTGTCCTAAAATCAGCAAAAATGCGCCTTCTTTAGGTAAAGCTAATTTTTGAAGAAAATTTTGATTTCACGACCAAAAAATTAAGTTCGAAAAAACAAAGGAGGGTGATTTCGGTGGGAGATTTTACGTTTTTTCCGTTGGTTTTTTTTTTTCATGAGATGATCCGTTCAGGAGATATTTGCAAAAAGCAAATCGTGGGTTTTCTCAATTTTGAAAAATTCAAAATGGCGGCGCCCTGAGGACCAGCCAATTTTCCTGAAGTTAATATGGCCATTTTCGGGCTTCTTCAGCACCTTGGAATCGAAAAAAATTGGTTTGGTTCGAAGGACAGAACCCATGTTGACCAGTGTTATTTTCATCTCAAAGCAATCGTTCAACACTGTATTACAATTCTGCTGATCTATCGCTCATCCATCGGACAGAATCACAGCGTAGAATCACAAATAGTTTGATCATAAATGCGCGATAGATGAGATTTGCAGATCTATAGCCGGGATCTATGAAAGTAAATAATCAGCCTGCTGGAATGTTTCACAATAAACGTATACATCTACGTTCTTAAAACGTCCGATGTTATCTGGGAAGCGTCGGGCGCCAACAAATTCCGCTCAGTCCGCTGCCTTTCCTACCGGTTCTCGGATGTGTTCAGTTTTTAAGTGGATTATAATGAAGGCTAAAGTCATCTTTTCTCAAGAGGAGGTGGAGCTGTTCATTATTAACCTCGTCCAGCAGAACCCACCAATTTACAGGTTGAATCACAAGGAGCTCAAAAATGTAACACTCCGTATTGTTTCCTCTGAAGTATTAAAGCGTTTCTTATCCCCTGAGTGTTATGCATAGCCTCTCCTTACTAGGTATTGGAGTCACGTGATTTGTAACCCTGTACCTACTTTAAATCTACCCTAGAGACACAAAGACGTAAAAAAATCTGTTAAAAAAGACGCAAAAAGGACCAAAAGTGAAATGCTGATATAGTCTTTTTTAAAAGAATAATTCGAAAAGAGTACCTACGAGGTTTTTTACGTAAAAAGATCGAGTCCCTTTAGGTACGCAAAAAGTTATGTACAAAATAAATCATGCCTCTTAAAATTTATTAAAATGATAATTCGTAAAGAAAAATTTAGACTTTTTACGTATCTGGATCTGTCGTCATTTAACCCTTCTTGAGACCATCTTTCAAATAATTTATCTCCCTGTCGGGAATTGAACCTGGGACCTGCCTAGCGGGAATTGAATGCGCTGCCTACCGAGTCAACGAGGCTTTAGTATGAGAGGGACGAATTTGCGCTGTGTACGCGAATATTTTTATTGTTGAATATGCGTGAGAGCGAACTGCTGAATATTTTTTGAACTTAGAAAAAGTGGATGAGGGCAAAAAATAATATTTATCATGGGTATTTTAGAGATGGATTTACCTACTTTCAAAAGTACCTTTGTTGTTCATGAATATGTAAAAATAAAAAAGTATGTACATTTTGATAAATCGTCCCCTTTTTTTCTTTTTCTTTTCCTAAATTTAATTATAACATGCATCAAATTTTTATGAGAATGTTTTAAACCATTTCAATAAAGATAAGTAATTAAAATCTCAATTTTTTAAAAACTTTGGTTTCTTAGTTCAAAACAATGTGTTTTTTGCATTCAGTTTTCGGGCTTAACTTTTTTTACAAAAAATCTTCAGGGGGCCTTAGAATTTTTGGCGTAATTTCCTTGTAATAAAAACTACAAAGGTATTTCCTGTTCGGTCAATTTAGCGAATTTTCAGTAGGTACAGACATTCTCCCCCAATTTTTTGTTTTCAGTAACCAAAAGTTTTACATAAAAAATAGATGTTCGAAGAGGTAAAAAAGAAAAATAGTGATATTTTACGTGAAAAAGTCAGAAGAAAATTAAGTGACGACAGTTTTGTACGTAAAAAATCGTAGTTTCGGTAGGAAAAAATCTGTCCTCCTTGAATTTCTTTCTGACCTTTTTTACGCACAGAAACTACGATTTTTTACGTATATGATTTTTTTCTGAATTTCTTTCCCCTTTCTTTCTTTACGTAAAAAATCGCGGATTTTTTACGTAAAGATTTCAGTTCAATCCCCCAAGTTTTTTTTTTACGTCTTTAATCACAAATTTTCTACTTTAAGTTCTTGCGATTTCTTGCGAGTTCTCTTATACGTACATCTTTCGTACTCGTAAAATTTACCAGTTTTAATTTTTTTTTTTACGAATTATAATACAAGATATGCTACCAGAGTATGCCCTATAAGACTATAAATATATTCAACCTCAGAGCGGGTCCTTCTAAAATATTCTTTAAAAAGAGCATCGTCGTCCATTACTTAGATGGCAAGAAATCAAATTAGTGTACGCTTCTTCGCCGCGAAAAAAATAATTTTTGATTCACGGGCCGATTGCCGAAAATACTGCACATAAACGGGCATTCGAGAAACTCCTTCATCAAACAATGTAGGTATAGATGAAAAAAGCGCGTCAGCTAATTATCGCATACCAAAACGAACCAGTCCGATCAAAGAAAATGGGAGGAATTGACAACGGACCGCAGTGGAAAAAAGTCCATGAATTCCGCTCCTCAGGTGCCGTGCTCCAAATTTTGAGCGTCTTCTCGCTCTCGACCCGGGAGCAGCGTTCACCGCTGGTGTCCAGACGCTGCGGAAAGCCGCTCCTGAGGTTCCGCATCTTTATTCTTTAAAGCTTCTTTACTCTTTTTCGCTCACAGGTTTTAGTCGTTTGTGCCACTGATCTCTTAGCTCTCACATTGATCAAGCCTCCAAGTACTTTTGGTGCGGATATCTGTATAGGAAACAGCCAACGTTTTGGAGTGCCCATGGGATATGGTGGCCCTCATGCAGGGTTTTTCGCCTGTAAAAAGTCACTCGTGAGACTCATGCCCGGCCGCATGGTCGGCATTACAAGGTACCCAATATTTTCATCCCATCGCTTTAAATGTTAAAAATTTTATAAATTTCAGAAATATTTAGCCTGCAGCCGTGTGCATTTATGTGGCCTTATTTTATATATCGACGGTGTGAGCCGGCAATCACATAACTCGGTTTTCGACGTCGCAGTCTTCCTGTCTTACTTTATTTGTCAAGCGGAAAACTGCTCAACGCGCAATTCTTTAAAACTGCCGTGCATAAATTTCAAGGAATGATGTCAATTTGTTCTCCTTTAAAAAAATAACAAAGAGGCAAGGATTTTCAGACAAATGAGTTATGTGATTGCCGACCTACACCTTACATTGTGTTCTACACCTTATCCAAAATTTGGTATATTTACTTAAAATCTATTTTTAAGTGGGGTTTTTTTTTTGTCTGAAAAACCATACCTAGTCTACTCAATTGTGGCAGATAATTCTTCATTTGCTTACAAAATAATCCCAATAAGATACACCAGTGAGTATAAAGGCATAGTTACGGGTGCAGACTGATGTACTCAGCGAGTAGATACCTGATGCCCTGTCCTTAAAAGTACCTTTGACCTGCAGCCTCTTCATCGATCGGCATGGGTGGTTGTTCTTTAATTTACACATCGTAAGAACAGAAGTTGGACAGGTATCCTCCTCATATGCTGCGCGTAGTTATCTTACGGATAGAACAAATCTGTGTCCATGTAGAGAAGTCGCGCGTTACTAATACAAAATTTTCGGACGATCCAATTTCTTCTCAGATTTTTCCTGTAAGTACCGTTCTGCAGTCAAAAATATTGGTCAAAAGACGAAAAAGGACTACGTCCAAAACGGGCCATTTGGGGCTCGAGGCTGATACCTCTGAGACTTGCCCTATTCATTCATCAAACAATGCCCCATCTCTTTCCAAAGTCTCAAGCCCCCCAAAAATGTTGGGGAGACGCGGTGGGGGCTTAAAGTTAAAAATCACCAAAATTTTCGCGAATTTGTCACTCGAAAACCAAGAAATTTTGAAAAACGCGGTTTAGACGAGCGTTTTCAGCGTGCCGAGAGCTGTCAGAAAATGCATGACATCATAGGGTTTTGTCAACTTCAGCTCGAGTTGTCGCCTCCGAAGCTCCGGAACGCTCAAAAAAGACCCCTTATTTTTTCACGTTCGAGCCGATTCCAAAAAAGCCATTTTAGTATTTTGATAAAAAATTGATATGTTGTTCCTGACTCTCTTTAGCCCCTCTAGCTCTTTACCGTGTGCTGGGTAAATGTTTTGGTCGCGAGTTAAAAGATCGGAAAGGAGCGAAGGTAGGGAAAATCGGCTATTTTAAACTACGCGCGCGGCGTTGATCGGGAGGAAAACGTCCTCTCCCACTCAGTTCTGCGAATCACACTCCGCGGCCGAACTCATATTGTTCCCAGTGTCCTCCGATCAACGCCGCGCGCGCACTTTAAAATAGCCGATTTTCCCGACCTTCACTCCTTTCCGCTCTTATAACTCGCGACCAAAACATTTTCCCAGCACACGGTAAAGAGCTAGAAGGGCTACAGAGAGTCAGGAACAGCATATCATTTTTTTTTATCAAAATAATAAAATGGCTTTTTTGGAATTGGCCCGCACGTGAAAAAAGGGGTCTTTTTTGAGCGTTACAGCCGCGCTTCGGGGGCAATTACTCGAGCTAAAGTTGGCAAAACCCTACGATGTGGCACATTTCCTGAGAGCTCTCGTCACGCTAAAAACGCTCGTCTAATCCGCGTTGCTCAAAAGAGCTTGATGCAAAAATGGCTTTTTTCGCCACCCCCCTCTGGAATTTCTTCAGACTTTGTCTATTGATTGATCATACTTGAGCGCGCTTCTTTCCCCAAATTTTCAGACCCCCAAAAAATTTTGGGGGGGGGTGCTAGGGGGGTGGAGGTCAAAACCTGTGAACCTCGATACCTCTCGAACGAAGAAAGATATCGAGGTCCGGTTTGGACGAAAAATCGTTTAAGATTGCATACTTCAAGATTCTAGAGGTCAAAATCCCGATATCACATTTTTAGGTCAACATATGTGCTTTTTCCAGTTTATAGGTCTAGAAAATTTCTTTTAAACGAGAAATTTACAAAGATCTCAATTTTTAATTTGAACCAAAACCAGTTTTTTAAATTGTTCGTCTCTTTCCGCATCCAACGAGTGGTCCATTAGGCTGGGGAACTAAACGGTTCCGGAGTTATGATCGATTGAAGTTTCCGCTCAACGCGCGCCGACCGATTTTCGCGCGCAAGAAAGTCGGATTTGACTGTTATTAAATCAGATTGAATGTTCAAACTGAGCAAAATGCATTATTAGGGACTCTGGAGGGTCGCTGAGCTCAGAAATTACGGATACTTCCAAAAAATTCACGTTTTTAAAATTACAGCACCGTAGTGGTATTTTAGAGGCCCACTAAGCGCCGACCGGCCGCTGAGTGGTCCTGTACGGAGCTGTAATTTTAAAAACGTACATTTTTCGGAAGTATCTGTAATTTCTGAACTCAGCGACCCTCAAGAGTCCCTAATAATGCATTTTGCTCAGTTTGAACATTCAATCTGATTTAATAACAGTCAAATCCGACTTTTTTGCGCGCGAAAATCGGTCGGCGCGCGTTGAGCGGAAACTTCAATTGATCATAACTCCGTTTGGTTCTCCAGCTTAATGAACCACTCGTTGGATGCGGAAGAAGACGAACAATTTAAAAAACTGATTTTGGTTCAAATAAAAAATTGAGATCTTTGTAAATTTTTCGTTTAAAAGAAATTTTCTAGACCTAAAAACTGGAAAAAAGCATATATGTTGACTTAAAAATGTGATATCGGGATTTCAACCTTTAGACTCTTAAAGTATGCAATTTTCGAGATTTTTGAATTTTTATAAGATTTTTTGTCCAAACCGGACCTCGATATCTTTCTTCGTTCGAGAGATATCGAGGTTCACACGTTTTGACTTCCACCCCCCCCCCTAGCTCCCCCCCAAAAAATTTTTTTGGGGGTCTGAAAATTTGGGGAAAGAAGCGCTCAAGTATGAGTAATCAATAGACAAAGTCTGAAGAAATTTCAGAGGGGGGGGGCGAAAAAAGCCGTTTTTGCATCAAGTTCTTTCTTTGTTTTCGAGTAACAAATTCACGAAAATTTTGGTGATTTTTAACTTTGATCCCCCGCCGCGTCTCCCCAAAATTTTTGGGGGGCTTGAGACTTTGGGAAAAGATGAGGCATTTTTTAGTGAACGAATAGGGCAAGTCTCAAAGGTATCCGCTCCGAGCCCAAAAGGACCCGTTTTGCACGTAGTCTTTTGTAATTCCCGATATGTCAATTTATAAACCCGGATCAGTATGTACATGTACTTACGATAGATGTATCAGGTATTGAAATGGGGGTGAAAATGAGGAATTAAGCGCAATCGATAAATCCATTCTTCGACCTATCCATTTCAATTTTCGATATTTTGACTTCGATTTTTCATCTTCGACCTAACGAAATGTAACGTTACTATCGATCGTTCAACTATCGATTTCGACCTAAGTGCTTATTTCCGGCCTATGGAAATGCCACCTAACGTTTTCCCATAAGGATTTTGTCCGTATGCGGTCCCTGTCGGCATAGGGAATGTCCGCGCGGTACGGAAAAATGCGCGCTTGGGATCACTGGCCCACGACAAATAAAATACCTAGACCGTTTTAGTGTTACGTCATATTTCGAGATGTATCGCGATTTTAGGCCTTTGTGCTCTGACCGGGATTCGGTAGGTTCGATTTATATGGGATTTCCCATTAGGAACGGAAAGCCAATATTCAAACGCTGCTTCTGGGTAGTTTCAGACAGTTTCTGCCGGATTTTCTTGTCCATCAATGATGAGTTCTATGTATCCTCAAACGTACGTTTCTGTCTGTTGAATCCCCAATATCGCATCGGATAAATTAATTATACTCAATGTATCGAATCAAGTCCCGGAAGTGAGGTTATGTTACCCCTTTGTTTACATTCATGTCTGGGACACGGAAGAATATCATTTCTTCGTTTTTATGAAAAAGGACGAAGCATTTGTCCATCAAAGGAGTTCATGATCATTATCTAATTCTCTAGGTTGTATTGTTCCGACGATAATGTGTGGACATCGTGTGGGGATAAGTAAAACTGTTGTTGGACAACCCGCTCACCGCTGTCGATACTTACCTTTCTCTAGATGTTATAAGAAGATTCTAATGGATAATATGAAACAAAACTGAGTGATTTGTGGCTGGAACGAATAAAGCACAACACTTTAGGGGGTTGAAAACAAATATTAGTGTCCAATATTCAACTAATTAGTTGCGAATGTTCAAGTTTTGTCATTATAGATAGAATCTAATAAAAAACTAACGGAAGAGACGCGCAGAATCGATTTTTTCTCCCATAAATTAGTGACGAGCAGAGGCCAAAATAAGAATGTAAACAAAGGGGTAACATAACCTCACTTTCGGGACTTGCTTCGATACATTGAGTATAATTAATTCATCCGATGCGATATTGGGGATTCAACAGATAGAGACGTACATTTCAAGATGTATAGAACTCATAATCGATAGACAAGAAAATCCGGCAGAACCTGTCTGAAACTATTCCGAATCAGCGTTTGAAAATTGACTTTCCGTTCCTTATGGGAAATCCCATGTAAATCGAACCGATCGAATCCCGGTTAGGGCACCAGGCCTGAAATCGCGATATATCTCAAAATGTGACGTCATCACTAAAACGGTCCATACGGCAAATCAGAAACTCCGGGAATGGAAATATTCTAAGTCCACCGGCAGACCATGCACTCCGCGTTTGTCTAGGGTCTCTTTCTGGAGAATATGAGGGGCCGTTTGTAACTAAAGATACGAATGTTGGCAATGTATAAGAAATGTGCGGAATATACATATGAAATATTCAAGATATATAGGAAATGTTGAAATATATTTACGAAATCGTCGCAATATATATGAAATGTGTCAATATATAGGAAATCGACGTCACAATA